GTCTTTGTAAGCCAGCCCTCCTTCAGGGCACAGTCACTGCTTCTTTAGAGGAGAGGGTATCATCAGTGACACTCTCAAAGCTGTCAGAAGACTTAGTGTGGCAAGAGGGAAAGGTGTATGTGACAGAAGGACAGAGAGGAACAGACACGTCAAATAAAGCCATCAGAACTGTGGTGTCTTCAAACATAACAACATTCTGGAAAAGGAGAGTTCTGGTTTGATTTTTTTTTTTTTTAATACAGAGATTTATTTACATTTTATGTGTTAAGAGTTTTGCCTACATGGATGTGCTCCATGTGTACTGCCAGTGGTGGTCAGAAGAGGGTGTTGACATGCCTAAAACTGGAGTTACCAGTGGGTGACAGGAACCTGACTTCCACAGTGCGGGCATGGCCAAAACTATCAAAGTGTAATTCTGGGGCCGCAAGTTCTTCGCCAATGGATGGACAAGATTTAAATTACTTACATGTGCTATCTAATAATAACTTTCTAATTTTTTAAAGTGTTGTCCTTAAAGTATTTCACAGTAGATTAGATTACATTAGGTAAGACCACAACCTGAATTTCCAACACTAAGTTTAACCTGTTGGCCAGATAGAGACCCCTGTCACTAAGTGACCAGATATCTAGAAAAGGAGCCCAAGAGAAGACGGAACTGCAGGCAGGAAAGACAAAAGTGGATGGTAGAAGCTAACCCACTGAAAAGAAATACCAACAAAGGAAAAGAAGAGAGAATGACAGGATGTTATTAACTACGAGGCCAACAACCTCACCTCAAGAACCCAAAAGGAACACGATGAAAGCTTGAGAGAAGTAACTGTTGCACGAAATAACCTTCAACCACTAAGAAAATCCGTATGCCCTTAGATTCAGTTGTAAAAAGCAGAAAGGCAGACAAGTCCACTTTGGGAAGATTTCATCAAAATATAATGCAGAAGGAGATCCAGAAATACATGAAGTGTGCACCATCTACAGACACGTACACGCAGTTAAGGCATGGAGCTAAACCAAGCCAGGCTGTGCAGAAGTGAAGGCACTGCCACGGTGTGAATGCCCTGCTCTGTGCAGGCAGTGATCAAACATCAGCACCTTCCCTGTGCACCATTTACCCCTTCCACCACCAAGCATACAAGAGCTCAACTATCTATGTGCGGTGGAAAGAACTTCCTTAGCTATCTGCTAGGAACAGGGTCCTAGTAACAGAAACAAACTACCCACTTTGTGGATTCTGACACAGTGTACCAAATGAACAAACGCCTTTTCTCAACAAGGTGAAATTGTCCCTGTACAGTCAAAAGTAGATGTTCTGACTTAAGAACAACACGCAGCATTTTTACATATAAAAAAGACAGATCTGAGCTTGGTGTGGTGGCTTATGTCAGCACGTGAGAAGGCCAACCTTTGTTACATACTGAGACAATGCTCAAAAACCAAAAGCAATTTCTGTGGTATTAAGGACTCTTGCTCTTAGACAAGATAGCAATAAAAACTCTCAACAGTAAAAACAACAGCCAAAGGAAGAGCAGTGTATTTTACCCCTACTTTTACTGGATTTACAAAATGAAAATTATTACAACTATGAGAAGCCAGAATTCACTTGAGATAAACAATGTCATCCTTCTGTTTGTTGGCGGGCTCACGTTTCACCTTTGTGTGCAGGCTGGCAGTCAACTCTGGGCGTCTTCTTCAATCATGTTCCACCACTGTCTGAGACAGGATCTCTCACTAGCCTGGACGTGCAGACTCAGCTGGCTGGCTAGCCAGTGATCTGCGGACATTTTCCTGGCCTGGCCCCCGTGGCTACTGCAGCATGAGCCACTACACCTGGCTGCTGGATGGGCTGGGGTCCAACGCAGGGCTGTGGCCTTGTGCTGAAAACTACTTTACCACCTGACAGCTAACAGCGGTTGTCACAATGACGGGACCTGAAATCAACTAACACACAGCCACTGGGTACACTTGGAAGAGGCTTCCGTGATCAAACTGTGGAAAGTGAGGAGACCCACACTAGACACGGCCAGCACCTTCCTGTGGCGTCAGAAAAAAGGAGACCCAAAGAAAAAGCTTTGCTTATTTATGTATTAAATTAGCCTGTGTACCCTGTGCTGCCTTTCTGCCAAGCTGACAACTTCATCTCCCTGCTGTTGCCACCGCTGGCTGCTTACACTAACCCAGCTCACTGACATCAGGACGCAGCTTTCTCAGCCATGCCAGTGAACGGAAGACCAGTGCCCCTCTGGAATCCTGCAGGCCTTCAGCTGCAGACTGGGACTGCTGAGGCATTCAGCTCTGTGAAACGAACAGCTCCTGGCTTCTTAACCGCTCCAGTGTGAAGATAGAGGTTAGAATATCCAGACCATATCATGTGACTTACTGTAATAATAAATCCTTCAGCATATATTCTTCCCATTGGTTCTGCTCCCTCAGGGAACCCTGTATATCAACTGAGCCATCTTCCTACCTCCAGGTTGTCTATTCTGTTAGAAAGGGATTTAGCTTATCTACGCTGTTCTGTGAGCATGCGCATGTGCATATACTTATGTGGATGTGTGTCTATAAGCCGTCCAAGTAACTAGTGCCTGAGCATGGTCAGAAGACGGTGTCAGGTCCCTGGAACTGGAGTCAGTAAAGGTGCTGGGAAGGAAATCTGAGTCCTCTGTAAGAGCAACCAATGCCCTTAACTGTCGAGCCTGCTCTCTGGCCTCCTCAATGCTTCTTGAAACAGACTGGGAATGCTCCAAAAGCTTTAAGAAAATGGGAGCCAAGGAAAAGCCTTTATGTCACATGAGGTAATCACCTAGAGGCGCGATGGAGCTTCGGCCTGGTCTTTACTCTCACTGCTTCTTGTTCAGAGAAACGGCATTTGCTTCTCTACACGCCCCTGCTGTCATCACCAGCTGCAGCGCTCACCACAACTAAGCCAGCGTAAGCAGCAGCTTTATGAGCCTTCGGAATCTTGAGCAAGAGACCTCTCTTCTACGTCATCAACGACCTGCATCATGTGCTCTGCTAAGGCGATGGGATGGTGAGAGTTATTACTGCTTCTCACTATTACATATTACAAGTATCACCATGTCAAAGAACTAGAGCAAACCAAGAGAAGCCTGCACAAACTCCCAGGCACAGAGGTTTGGGTGGCAATAATGAGTGAAAGACTACTCACTTGGAGGTGGCAGAAATTCAGGATGACAGTCACAATCGTCTCCCTTCAAAGCCTCATCTGCCACCTGCCCGTGAAAACAAAACTAGTGAGGTTTTAAAAGATAATACAGCCAAAGAATCAGCAATCACACAAATTTAACTGGAATATGGTAAGATTCACTTAAGCACCTAAAATATACAGCTGGTTATGATGCCTGAATGTATATAAACAAGCATGATAACAAACAATGGGAACCGAGAAAAAGGACAAATTAGTGAATGGTGGCCCTCCTTCTGATGCCTGGCATGACGCCGATGTAGATGTTAAAAAACGCCTGTTCGCCCCCCCCCC